TTCTTCTCGTTTTCTTCTCCACTCAGTGTTGTAGTTTTGTTATTCAATTATGTGTTCTGTACACGTATGCCACACTTATCCCTTCCTTCTGCTCTTGTCTTCCTGTAATTTAAGTAAACGGAATCACATTCACTAATGATGAGCTAATGACTGTCATTGTTAAAAAAGTGTTTTTTTAACTTTTTCACTTTCTGCTATTGTCTTTGTAATATTGTATACGAGGGCGTTTGTGTTGTCGTAGGTGCTATCCTTATTAGTCTTTACGTAATTTTAATCCTCGTGGAAGCATGTTTCCAATGATCAGTAGTTGGAATCTTGGATAGCTTCTTCATATCGTACATTTCAATTTTGATGAGATGCTTCGCTTGGTCTCCGTCGTCAGAATTAGTAGAAATTTATGATACACCATCTCTAGCGGCTCGTGCTACGGTTGATGATAACAGCTTTCTCTTTTATATTTTTATATTATTTTTTATATTTTTATTCAGCTTCAAAAAATGATCAATCGATTGCGATTTTCTTTTTCCACCATCGCATGTGTTATTTTAATGACGATGTCGTCACTCTCTTCTTGAGGGGAGAGTGGCGAGTAGTAATACTGTTTATAGGCATTTTCATCGAAGCTCAATGATTTCTGCAACAACACAGTTATCATGTTAATATCAATTTGTCAACACTTAATCATAAAAGTTAAAAAAATTAAAGTTACAGCCTATTAAAGTACACTGCTGAACAGGAGGCCTATCCTCTCATTTATGAGAGGGTATTAGGACTAGGAAATGTTCGCCGCACTGCCGCAATGCGTGTTGGCGAAGTTCACATGCCTTCGAAATTTTCTCAGACATGTAGGTTTCCTCACGATGTTTTACTTCACCGCTGAGCACGTGGTAAATCAGCACTTAAAATTGCAATTAACAATTTAATTGGTGCTGGCGGGGATCGAACCCGGGTCGCGTACTGTGAAATTTACAGCTTGTGCTAACCATCTGAGCTACCACGGCTTAATCATATACATATAATATTTAAATATAATTTGTTAACACTAAATCATACACACGTAAGAAAATAACAGAAAGTAAGTTTGTCAATAGAATAAACACATACATCCATGCCCTTTGATGCGTTGAAGTAACACAAATGTAGTATTGATAGATCCAGTGCAGTCAAACGACCATACACTAACTCCATGACTGCAGCTGCTCGGTCTTATATAGTACCAGTAAGTAATAATTCTAATCTAAAGAATTTCTGCAGTGGAACTGATAGTACGAGTAACTTTATGCGTCAACAAGCTTATCTCACATTCTGTTGCTTATCTCAACATTCCTTCGTGTTGCGTCTTGTTCAGTATATTGATGACTCAAATACGATTTGTATAACACAAAAGAATGCAATTTAATATTTAGAAATCACTATAATTGATCATTCCTATGTTAGTCATTGAGTAGATTGGTACTGTAATAATCTACTAGTAGCAGTAATATCATGGATACACTAGATGTACAACAACATCTGAAAAAGATTCACCACAGTCTAGAAAATAATGTTTATGCTGCCAATAGACTGCCCATGTACACGCACGTGCCAACGTATATAATGTGCAATTTGGATACAGATGATAAACCAGGGTCACATTGGGTAGCTTTATATATCGATACGAATGACGTCGGTCAATATTTTGATTCATATGGACGATCACCTGTACGATATCATCTAGAGTTTTTAAAAAGGAATTGTAAAAGATGGAATTGTAATGTTGATAGGATTCAGAATGAGTGGACTTCAGTTTGTGGCGGATTATATTATTATATATATTGCATAATGTATTTGCTATATAAGTTTTAGGGATGTTCAATGCATAGTTTTACGAGTATATTTACAGGGAACACATTGTACTATGATATTTTAGTGGATGAGATGTTTCGCTCCTATTTTATAGACAATAAGTAATAAGATTTTGTTTTTTGTAAATAAAAATTGTAACAAAATTAGGTAATGTGTTTTATTAATTTTAGATTTAGATTAGCGTTGTAGATAGGAACAAAGAAGTATAATACAATAGCACTGAAAAGCCGACGCATACGCCGAGGAAAAATAGACAATGACGGTAATCAATGAACAATAGATAAATAGATAAGAACAATGGGGCGCTAATGACGGTGGAGACCCTCACCGGATGTCAATTAGATAAGAGTTAATTGATCTGCACATCTCCGCCGCCGACCGCAGATTCGTGATCAGAGCATTCCAAAACCTTTTTTATTTAGGATCGTGAGTGGACGAACGTTGTACCACTTCTGACTCAGTGAGCCAGAAGTGGTACTACCTATCTACTTACCTAGTTCAAGAATGGTGATTCGTTTCTATAAAATAACTTATGTACTTTTCGACGTATAGCCGAGAAAACTAAATTGTCCAATTTATTTTTGAAACTTGATTTAGGGTCAGGTATTTTCGAAGAGCTAAAATTTTTATTTTCTTTGTGCTCCTTGAGCACCCTGTAGATTGAAGTTTTAGATATGTTAAGTATTTCGGCAGTTTTTAAAACAAATCGTATTTTTCGGCATCTCGTTTGAAGATGCGGTTTAGTGTGTACATATTTGTAAGCGTTCATGATCATACCTTTTGTCGTTTGGCTGAATGATACGAGATTACGGTTTTTTTATTCTTGGCGATACAATTTCTTCATCACGGCTACGCGACGAAGTAGAAGGCTGAGGGTCCATCACAAATTGTTCACCAAAAACAAAAACGTAACAAAACCACAAAACAAAAACACAAAAAAAGCAAAGTAACAGAAACAAACTCAACGAAAACATAACAAATAACACGATATTGTATCAAGAAAGACAACGGACGCATTCACTTACACATTCACAACACTTTAGAGTTTGAAGGATAAGGTAAACAAAATGGCGTTCTTAAAAAATAGGGTTGATGTATTCAAAATCTAAAATTCACGCATTTTTCAGTAAAACACAATAATTGCCATATTATCATAATTATTTTTAAAATTGTAGTTGTTTGTAAGGTGTCAAGTTCCAGTAATTACCGTATTTTTTAAAAGTTCTGCCGTTTTGTAAGAGAAAATCATTTAGATTGACGTTTTTCCGTGTATGGGAACAACACTGATGGTGTCGGTTAATTTATTTTTGTTTAATTTAAAGACATCGAAACATGCGAGTATGTATGGCCGCACGACCCTTTCGCTTCCGGTATAAACGGGTCTCCCATTGGTTGGATCACGCAAAGCGTAGCGTGGTCAGGTTTCACTGGCAGTGTATAGCGTGTCGTGCTTCCCTGTGTACGTACGTAAATTTTAATGATACGGTTTTGAACTTTGAAACTAATCGTCTAATATAGATTGAAGATTCAAGTTAATTCAACAAACCGGTATCGTAGGTTCACTTTACAAACGCGCTGGCAACGTTATTTGTATGTTTGTTACAAATTAAGTCTCAGAGATAACAGAAGGCTTTAAGAAGTAAACATTTATTTCAATTTTATCAGAATTCCAAATTCATTGCTATATATTTTATAAACATTTATTTATCTGAAAGTTTGTTCAAAGGCACAATATTTTTTAAATATTTGGTATATTTTAACACAACTGGTAACTTAATAAAAGTGACATTGAAGGATTCCCTTCTATCGTATTTACTCAGCTTCATTATCTGTTACAATGTTACACTATTGAAGTTTTCACGAGTGCCGCAGATTACCTAACAGTTACTACCAGTACCAAGAAGTGGCGTTTTAGGAGAAATCACTAACACAGTTTATTCTTTGGGTGTCGTAAGAGGACAAGAGGAAAATTGAAACCGTAGATCGGCAGTAGCGCAATAATTTAATAATAATAAAATACTGCGATTGTCGATCCCCCGGCAAGCGCGACAACTATAGCTGTTCGTTCTTACATAATATATACGCAGTTTAATTTTTAAAATCAGTTGCAATTAAAGAATCGAAGAGTAGACATTTCATTTTTTTTACAGGTGATACAATCAAAAATGCATCTTGGTTACATCAACAATGAACACAACACATCCCATCACGAGGCAATCTGTGGATGCCTATGTTCAGAAACGAATGTTTAGATACACTGTAATGAATGAATGAACAAATTAAATAATGGGCATAACCTTACATGCGAACACTCTCAGCAGCGTTAGTGTTTCCTTATATATATACAATGTACTCTGTGATTAGTGTAGCTAGAGTGCGATGGGTACACTATACGTTATATTAAAATTAATTGTAACAAGTCAATAAAGTCACATTTATCACGCATGTAGGACATGTTTTTTTCTCTAGCGAGCTAAATTACCTAGTTCTATCATAAAATCATAGTGGAATATTTTCAATAATTAATTAGTTTATTACTTTGGAAAATATCTTCTACGTTTTACGTCATAAACATTTATTTATAATATCTCTAAAACATCTCAAATTTTAGTAAAATAGTGTAATATATACATACTCGTAGGTATCCTACCTTTTGTGGAAATGGGGTTATTGATGAACGTTAGCTCTAAGCAGTCATCTACGTCACACTCAGTTGATACAAACGTGTGTATGTACTTATTTTTACATTCATAATTTTATAATGGCTAAAAATTACTATTTGAATAAGATTTTTACTTCAAAATTTTTATATAATTTCTTCATAAACTAGTAACAATCAGGCGGAAGAGATCGAAACTATCAAGATTTAATACTTTGCGAGTTAAAACATTGATTGCGTATGTTCTTGTACGAAGGACGTTATGTATACGCTCGGAGAAGTCAGTGGAGCGGAAGAAAGGGATGGCGATTCTTTCCGAAAAAGATAGATTTTTAAGTCGATTCGAATCGAAATTTTATAATGTTTTTTAACAAGAAATCGATTATGCGATAATCAATCCCAGATCGCCATGCCTAGTGCGAAGGTACAAAGCGGACAGGAGGCACAGTGCGACGTCCGTGTGGGGATGTGAGAGTGGAATGTAACTGTTGTCCGTTCAGTCGGAGGCGTCGTCGATGGGCTCCGGCTCGTCACGCAAGTAGGCGGCGTTGTCGAGCCGCTCGTCGAACTCGGGCTCGTTGAGCGGCTCGGAATCGTCGGGCTCGTCGTCCAGCGGCTCGGGCTCGGCCTCCGACTCCGAGCTGGAGTCCGAGCGCTGCGTGTCCGCCTCGCAGCACGAGCGCTCTCCCTGTACGCACATGTACCACCATTTATCTTTTGACGTGACTTTAAGGCAAGAGTCAGAAAATTAAGGTTTGTCAAGATGATAAAGACCAATTCTATTTAATAAATAGTACATTTATCCTCGATTAATAATAAAATGGAGGTGTAAGCTAAGGCATTGCGGCTCCATCGGTTACATCATCTTTTTATAAACGTTATCCCCACACTAGAATTTTCTTATGCTTTGTGGAAACAATTTACATATAAAAATTGCGCGAGCAAACACATCCAGACTCAAACCGCTTTTTTGTCGACGTTTCATTCTTCTGTACTCTGCGGGTTGTTGGCTGCTTTGTTTTCGGCTGTGACTTTTTAATAGACTAAACCACGTCCAACCATTTATTTTCCTTTTGACATAAACACGTCTATGAAGTTAAACAATTATTGACCTGCAACCATAAAAAACATTCCCGTGCAATGGCGGGTAAGAACACCCAATACCCCATATCTTCCTGTGGGCGAACGAGTGGGCGAAGAGGCGACAGAGGAACACTGAGGCACGAGATAGCAGCATCTTTCCGATAACAGCAAACAGCAATAAAAAACTGCGGTCGCCACACCGCTCGCCAAGCGCGGCAATATGCCAATATACCCCCCCCCCCCTGAGCAACGACACAAATAAACGGCCCGCAGGCCCCGTCTACAAGTCTCTCGTTAACAACGTTGTAAAGATTAGGTGTGTCGACGAGGATTGGGCACCTAATACTCAGAATCATCAAACGGTATTTTCTGAAGGTCATAAAGGTTTACGCACCAACCTCGGCACATTCCGATGAGGAGGTGGAGAAAATGTATGAGGATATCTCTAGAGCCATGCATTGCTCCCAAATCCACTATACGGTGTTAATGGGAGATTTTAACGAAAAACTAGGCACAAGACTGAACGGTGAGATGAACGGAGGGAAATTTGGAATAAATCGTCCTTTATGATGAACTATTTCTTCCAAAAGTGGCCCCACAGAAATTGGACCTGTTCGAAATCTGACGGTTGGACAAAAAATGAGATTAACTTCATTACGAAGACCAGACGCCAAGTTCAGTGATATCTCAGTAATCGCAAAGATGAATAGTGGCAGCGATCACCGAATAGTAAGAGGCATACAAGTAAAGTAAAGTTACAGTCTATATACGTCCCACTGCTGGGCACAGGCCTCCTTTTATTTCTGAGAGGCATACTGAACCTAAATGTGTAGTTGGAGGTCACGTCTAATGAAGTCAACACTCCGTCCCCCTCGAGCTCTAATCCAAAGCCCCGAAAAGTTTCTAAGATATAAATGATAAGCATGCGGAAACTGTCTATGCGGTGCGAGCAAAGTTTTGTAAGACACGTCGCAGAAGAACACTAAAAGTCTTCGATCACACTCTTAATCTCACGGCTGTTAGACGGGAGATGAAGCTGCAGTCTTCAACATATTTGACACTTGACAGCATACAGGAATCTGAACAGACAGAGTTCCAAATGCATGCGACGGGACTTACGCAACTTCAATACAGCTCGTATTGAAGAAGCGATTGATCGGAACCGGGGATCCAAAGTCTTTGCTAGAGATCTGACTGCTAGAAAAAGCCAAATGTCAAAGCTGAAGACCGAGAGTGGCAGCATTGTTTCCGGGACACCTGAGATTTTAAGTGAGATTGGGAGGTTCTATATGCAGTATATATCGTCATTGGAGCCACTCGCAAGTGTGAGTAACAATTCAAGAGCAATTCTTATCCGACACTATTCCGATGACATTATTCAGATTTCAGTCTGAGCGAGATTGCAGACTGCGAGAGATTCCATCTAGGTTCTCAGGGGTGGTAACAACTGCAGCCGTCTTATTAAAAGTTGAGTTGCAGGTGTGTAAGAATTACAATAGTAGTGTTGGACCTAACTTGAAATAAAGAAGGCCAAAGAAATGTTGTCATTTCTGAGGACTTTAGTATAATGTCATATAGGAATACATCTATTGAAATACGGTATTTTATATCAGATGTTAAATATTTAGATCGGCCTACATGAATCGACTATCTGGTCAAATATGTAATGTTTGTGGGTGCGTAAATGTATTTGTGAGTGCATACAAATATACTTGCACGGTGGGAGGGCACTACCTCGCAGAGAGTGTAGGATATTAAAAATTTAGTAAAACACGTGTTATTTGATGTGCGTGTGAGCATGTATGCATGCGTGCGTGCGTGTGAGTGCGTGTGCGTGCGTGTGCGTGCGTGCGTGTGTGTGCGCGTGGGTGAGTGCGTGCGTACGTGCGGCGTGCGGTGCGCGGCGTGTACGCGCTGGCTCTCGGGCAGCACGTGGTATGAGCAGGAGGGCGCGGGGTGAGCGGGGTGCGTGTGCAGCAGCAGCAGCGGCGCGGCGGGCGGGTGCAGCGCGCTGGTGGAGGCGGACAGCGCGGGCAGCACGCGCACGGAGCGCACGCCGCGCAAGCCGCACACGCCGCGCACTACGCTCCGCGCGCGCGGCACCGTGCCACAGCCTGCCCGCGGAAACACCCACTATACCGTCTCACATCATATAATGGGCACGCACCGAGACACCGCGGTAATATCCTATGTGTATCAGCGCTGTCGTCGCGCCACAAGCAAAACGCCATCATTGTTTAGCTTACAATTCTTTTTATATGTTTTAGTCATCCAAAACCCTGATAACACTATTAGTCACATTGCACATAGAAAAAAGACCTTTACAAACCGATATTTAACGGTGAACCTTACCAACAGCCGCTACAGTTAGCTACCGTAAAAAATATTTATTTCAGACAACAAAAAAAATCTATGATAGAAAACATCTAGCCGTTGAGCTTCAATTCCCGGGTGTACGTCACAGAAACAAAGTTGTGCCCGCTATACTACCATATGACAAAGGAATCACAGACAGTATTGAGCATATCTTGTAGTGAACTTCTTTTAAAACAGTAGTTAGTACCAGTTCTGGCTCACTGAGTCAGAAGTGGTACAAGTACGACGTTCGTCGACTCACGCACCTAAAAAAAAAAGGTTTTGGCATGCTCTGATCACGAATCTGCGGTCCGTTTTTGCGTAGGATGCACGGTTCCGGAGACGTGCAGATCAATTAACTCTTATCTAATTGATATCCGGTGAGGGCCTCCACCGTCATTAGCGCCCCATTGTTATTTATCTATTGTTAATTAAATACCGTCATTGTCTATTCGTGCGTCGGATTATCAGTGCTATTATATTATAATCCTTTGTTCCTAACTGCAACGGTAATCTGAATCATCAATAAAATACATTACCTAATTTTGTTACAATTTTTATTTACGAAATACAAAATCTTATTACTCATTATCCGTGCCGTGTAGTGGCGGTTAAGAATATCCACTACCCCATATCTTCCCGTGGGTGTCGTAAAAGGCGACAGAGGGAGACAGGCAGGAGATGGGCAGCAGCATCTTCCTGATAACAGCAACTGTTCGACAAAAAAAAAACTGCGGTTGCCAACCCGCTCGCCAAGCGTGGCAACTATGGCAATATACCCCCCATGAACAATTACACAAATAGACGGCCCCCAGTCCCCGGCGGCCCCGCTATTCCTGGCTACGGTGGCGAACATGGTAACGGCGGGGCAGGGGGTGCTAAGAATCTCCGGTGGAGGTTCGGTTGCCACCTAACCTGGCAACATTTAACGCACGCACACTGAGGACTAACGAGAAGATCCTGGAGCTGGAAGAAGAGATAGACAAGTTGCACTGGAGTATTATAGGATTATCCGAGGTCCGAAGAGAGGGGGGAGGACACGGTGATTCTCGAATCCGGCAACTTGTTCTATCACCGGGAGGGCGACCATCTGTCCCAAGGAGGTGTCGGATTTATCGTCCACAAGTCTCTCGTCAACAACGTTGTAAAGATTGGGAGTGTGTCGACGAGGGTCGCGTACCTGATACTCAGAATCACCAAACGGTATTCGCTGAAGGTCATACAGGTTTACGCACCAACCTCGGCACATCCCGATGAGGAGGTAGAGGAAATGTATGAGGATATTTCCAAAGCCATGCATTCCTCCAAAACCCACTACACGGTGTTGATGGGAGACTTCAACGCAAAACTAGGCACAAGAGAAACCGGTGAGCTGAAGTTAGGGAAATTTGGAGTAGGGCAACGGAACCGAAGGGGCCAGCAGCTGGCCGACTTTATGGAGAAAGAGGGACTCTTTATGATGAACTCTTTCTTCCAGAAGCGGCCCCACAGGAAGTGGACCTTGTCGAGCCCCGAAGGTTCGACAAAAAATGAGATTGACTTCATTATGACGACCAGACGCCAACTGTTCAGTGATGTCTCAGTGATCGCAAGGGTGAAAACTGGCTGCGATCACCGAATGGTTAGAGGCACACTGAACCTAAACGTTAAGTTGGAGAGGTCTCGTCTAATGAAGTCAACGCTCCGTCCCCCTCGTGCTCTAATCCAGAATCCCGAAAACTTTCAGCTCGAGTTACACAACCGCTTTCAGTGCCTACAAGATTGCAATGCAGTGGACGATATGAATGACAAGCTCGAGGAAACTGTCCATGCGGTCGGAGCTAAGTTCTGCAAGACCCACCGCAGAAGAACACAAAAACTCTCCGATCACACTCTTAATCTCATGGCTGTTAGACGGGAGATGAGGCTGCAATCGTCAACAGATTTGACAGCATACAGGCAACTGAACAGACAGATCTCCAAATGCATGCGGCGAGACTTACGCAACTTTAATACTGCTCGTATTAAAGAAGCGATCGAGCGGAACCAGGGCTCCAAAGTCTTTGCCAGAGATCTGTCTGCCAGAAAGAGCCAACTGTCAAAGCTGAAGACTGAATGTGGCAGCATCGTTTCCGGGACACCTGAGATGTTGAGTGAGATTGAGAGGTTCTATGGGCAGCTGTACACATCATCGTTGGAGCCACACGCAAGTGTGAGTAACGATCCAAGAGCAAGTCTTATCCGACACTATTCCGATGATATCCCGGACGTCAGTCTAAGCGAGATTAGAATGGCTCTCCAGCACCTTAAAAACGGCAGGGCCCCAGGCGAGGATGGAATTACAGCGGAGCTTCTGAAAGCGGGTGGAACACCGGTACTGGAAGTCCTTCAGAAGCTCTTCAATTCCGTCCTCCATGGTGGCACTACTCCAGAGGCGTGGAGCAGAAGTGCGGTGGTCTTCTTCTTTAAGAAAGACGACAACGCTCTCTTGAAGAACTACAGACCGATTTCCCTTCTGAGCCGCGTCTACGTGCTGTTTTCGAGAGTCATTACGAATCGTCTCGCACGCAGACTCGACGACTTCCAGCCTCCCGAACAAGCCGGTTTCCGAAAAGGCTTCAGTACCATAGACCACATACATACCCTGCGGCAGATTGTACAGAAGACTGAAGAGTACAATTTGCCACTTTGCCTGGCGTATGTGGACTATGAGAAAGCCTTTGATTCCGTCGAAATTTGGGCGGTGCTGCAGTCCCTCCAGCGGTGCCAAGTTGACTGTTGGTATATCGAAGTGCTGAAGTGTTTGTACAGTAGGGCTACGATGGCTATCCGAGTACAGAACCAGAGCTCGAAACCTATCCAACTGCAGAGAGGTGTAAGACAGGGTGACGTTATATCCCCGAAACTCTTCACCGCTGCTTTGGAAGACGTTTTCAAGCTACTGGACTGGAAAGGATACGGTATTAACATCAATGGCGAGTACATCACTCACCTTCGATTTGCCGACGATATAGTCCTTATGGCAGAATCGCTGGAGGACTTAAGCACTACGCTCAATGACCTCAATAGTGCCTCCCAACGGATAGGTCTTAAGATGAACATGGACAAAACAAAGATCATGTTTAATGTCCATGTCACACCTATGCCGGTAGTTGTTGGGAGCACTATGCTCGAAGTTGTTGACGAGTATGTTTACCTGGGACAAATAGTCCGACTAGGTAAGTCCAACTTCGACCGAGAGGTCAATCGACGGATTCAACTCGGCTGGGCAGCGTTCGGGAAATTACGACATATCTTCTCGTCAGGTATACCTAAATCTCTAAAAACTAAATTGTACAACCAGTGCGTGTTGCCAGTGATGACTTACGGATCTGAGACGTGGTCCTTCACTGCTGGCCGTATGAGGACGCTCAAGGTCGCTCAGCGAGCTATGGAGAGGGCTATGCTCGGAGTTTCTCTGCGTGATAGACTCAGAAATGAGGATATCCGCAATAAAACCAGAGTGACCGACATAGCCCAACGGATTAGTAAGCTGAAATGGCAATGGGCCGGCCATATAGCTCGAAGAACCGATAACCGATGGGGAAGAAAGGTTCTCGAGTGGCAGCCTCGTACCGGTAGGCGTAGTGTAGGGCGACCCCCCACTAGATGGAGTGACGACCTGGTAAGATATGCAGGAAGTCGATGGATGCAGGTGGCTCAGGACCGTGCTTTGTGGCATTACTTGGGGGAGGCCTATGTTCAGCAGTGGACTTGTGAAGGGCTGTAATGATGATGAATGATGATGATTACTTATTATCTATAAAATAGGAGCGAAACATCTCATCCACTAAAATGTCCTTGTACAATGTGTTCCCTGTAAATATACTCGTAAAACTATGCATTGAACATCGCTGAAACTTATATAGCAAATACATTAAGCAATATTCGCCACAAACTGAAGTCCACTCATTCTGAATCCTATCAACATTCCAGTTCTTTCTTCTCACTTTTAAAATTCCTTTTTAAAAACTCTAGATGATATCGTACAGGTGCTCATCCGTATGAATCAAAATATTGACCGACGTCATTCGTATCGATATATAAAGGTACCCAATGTGACCCTGGTTTGTCATCTGTATCCAAATTGCATATTATATACGTTGGCACGTGGGTGTACATGGGCAGTCTATTGGCAGCATAAACATTATTTTCTAGACTAGGGGGAATCTTTTTCAGATGTTGTTGTACATCTAGTGTATCCATGATATTACTGCTATTAGTAGATTATTACAGTACAATCTACTTAATGACTAACATAGGAATTATCAATTATAGTGATTTCTAAATATTAAATTGCATTATTTTGTGTTATACAAAACGTATTTGAGTCATCAATACACTGAACAAGACGCGACACGAAGTAATGTTGAGATAAGCATCATCAATTCCACTGCAGAAATTCTTTAGATTAGAATTATTACTTACTGGTACTATATAAGACCAAGCAAGTGCAGTCATGGAGTTAGTGTATGGTCATTTGACCGCAGTGGATCTATCAATACTACATTTGTGTTATTTCAACGCATGCATCAAAGGGCATGGATGTAAGTGTTTATTCTATTGACAAACTTACTTTTCTTTCTGTTATTTTCTTACGTGTGTATGATTTAGTGTTAACAATATATATTTAAATACTGTGTGTGTGTATACAATTAAGCCGTGGTAGCTCAGATGGTTAGCGCAAGCTGTAAATTTCACAGTACCCGGGTTCGATCCCCGCCGGCACCAATTAAATTGTTAATTGCAATTTTAAGTGTTTATTCTATTGACAAAGTTACTTTTCTTTCTGTTATTTTCTTACGTGTGTATGATTTAGTGTTAACAAATTATATTTAAATACTGTGTGTGTGTATATGATTAAGCCGTGGTAGCTCAGATGGTTAGCGCAAGCTGTAAATTTCACAGTACTCGGGTTCGATCCCCGCCGGCACCAATTAAATTGTTAAATGCAATTTTAAGTGTTTATTCTATTGACAAAGTTACTTTTCTTTCTGTTATTTTCTTAGGTGTGTATGATTTAGAGTTAACAAATTATATTTAAATATTGTGTGTGTACCGCATCTACGAATACTAGAGTAGTTAAAAAATATTTTTTTAACAATGACAGTCATTAGTTGATCATTAGTGAATGTGATTCTGTTTACTTAAATTACAGGAAGACAAGAGCAGAAGGAAGAAATGGGATGAGGGGAAGTAATGAAGCATTGTTATGTGAAATTTGTTGGAACAAACATATTTTTAGTCACATGTAAATACTTTTAACATTTTGGTTCCAAATGACACAAAATCTAAAAAATATTAGATATATCATCGACATGGACGGATTTTACATTACATATCCTCATAAACATTTTCAATGTAGAGAAATGGCTATTCTAGACGTAAAACTATCTAATAAAAATGATGCGTTTATCGATCATTATTTGTTACGGCCAAGTTATCATTTCAATTATTTGTCGCCAAAAGATAAAAAAACTGTTCGTTATTGTGAAACACACGTGCACGGCACTCCATATTTTGATGTGACCGAAGAATTAAAATATGCCTACAAACAAGAGAACATCATCCCCATACTAAATTGGTATATTAGAAATTTGTGCAAAAACGAAGTGATCGCATACAAAGGTGGTTCAACAGAAAAACAATTTTTAAAAATGTTGACGACGAATGATAGAATTTTTAATACTGAAGAATTCAAATGTCCAAAATACAATGATTTGGTAAATGTCATAAATTTAAACAAACGTTAAGCGTGTAATATGAATATATTTACAAAAAATAATCACAAAATTTTACATTGTTCTTGTGACGAAGTGTGGGTTTTTTACCAGTGGTTATTGCTTAAAAATAAAATTTTCAATTAATCATAAATTTTGTTTGATTTCCCAAAAACATTAGTTATAGTACACAATATATATTAATTGTTTACACCAACACTTTCATTTTTTATTTCACCCCTTAGAACTTTAGACGTGCGTAATGTTTCACTTTATACATCCGTTTACTGCTATTGTGGCAGGACCAAGTGGATGTGGGAAGTCAAATTTTGTAACAAATTTCATAAAATCAGTTACAGAAATATGTAATTGTGATTTTAATCAGACCACATGGTGCTTTTATGAAATGCAACCTTCATATAATTTACAAAATGTTAGCTATCATCAAGGAATTCCAAATCTTAATATGTTTGGTGAAAACACACATCTCGTTATTATTGATGATCTAATG